ACTTGCAAGAGGTGCTATGTGTATTATAATAATAGTAATGACATTTAAATGGAAACCAGAAGGTGGTCTCTTGAGGGTTTAATTTACAGAGCTGAAGGTCACTTGCCTGTATTATATTGGCTCAGGGGAGTACCCATGAAGCAGTTTGGAAATGAGGTTGAAGTAGTATATTTTGTTAAAAAACTAAATGTTAAAGGTTTCTCTTGTAAAGGCCTTGAGCCAGGAGTCTTTCAGAAATGCCAGTGCTTGAGCTATTTACCAATTCTATTCCTTGCCTTCCTAGAGCTTTTGTAGTTTTCCAGTCACAGAATTAGGGACGAATTTAAAAGAGGAGAGCCTGTTTACCTATGTGCCCCTCACACCAAGAAGATGGGATGGAGCTCCCTGATAGAATTTTCTTCACTGGCAGTGTTCTAGTAGTTCCCTCCTTACGTTCCTTTCATTAGTTTTCCTACCCTCTTTGTTGAAGACAAGAAGAGTTTTTGCTCCTCTCAGGCAAAGCCTCCCACATTCTATAATTTTTATCTCCAGAAATAGCAGCATGGATGAGGAGATTGAAAACCCCTACTGGAGTGTCCGGGCACTGGTGCAGCAGTATGAGGGGCAGCAGAACATGCCACTGGAGTCCCGTTCCTCCAGGTAAGATGCTGAAATGGGGTTTGTGGTCTGTTTCACAGGAAGGAAGGGGCAGAGTAGCTAGGATGCAAGGGATGAATATTTCAGAGCTGATGGAAAAAGTTGTGGAGGAGAGGAACTTAAACCAACAAACCTTGTGCCCTGCAGAGGGATGGAGATGAGCAGGCATGTGGATTTGAACAGCACTTACACACCAGTATTTAACCCAGATAGATGATGCTGGGGGAGATCTGCAGCTGTCTGCATTGCCATTGTGCCCTCATCCATCACCTTTAACTATGTATAGATTTAAAGTTGTCTAATTAACCTTTCCATCCCCCAGACTTCCACCTTCAATCTAAAGTGCAGCATTTAATTGTTTTACTGAAAATTCTCCTGGATATGTCTGTGAAGTCTCAAAGTGGGAGTTCAGTATGGTTTCCACTGGAGGTGATTTTCCTCTCTGGAGTAGGGCTTGATTCCTGAGAAGTATGTGCTCTAGCCTTGACTGGGGTTCTTGATTGCAAGTTAAGTGAGGTCAAGCTGGTGCAAGTGGAGGCTTTCTAAGGAATGGGACCTGTAGAAGGCAGGATTGATTAGAATGGGAGCATATAATACATTTCCAGTAGGAGATGCTACAACTTGCAGCTGTGCATTGAGCAACATGTGGTAGTTACAGTACGTTACATGGGTGCCTTACAGGCTCTTTGTACTTACTGTCCTTTGCTTTGGGGCAGAAGTCAAAACTCTTGCCTCAGTTTACTTGAGCAGTGGAAGAGAAAGGGAAGACACATGGCTGTGTTGTTTTGGTGGATACAGGAGAGGCAGTGTAGCTGAAAGGGCTTTTGAAGAGAAGCTGTACTCCAGTGGGGGAGCTGATCCCAGCATGGATAGCCTCATAGTAAAGGACAGCCTTTCCCTGTTCCCTGGAGGACAAGTAATTAGCCAGAAGAAAAAGCATTCTGTAACAGAACATGTTAGACCTCCCTCTGGATATACTGCTTTGCTCTATTTAATCTGAGAAGGCAGAGATGCATGGGCATAGCTGCAGTTCTTTGGTACAGTTTCCTGTCCCCAGTGTAAGCCCCAACTCTGCTTTCTTCTCTCCTTCTGCTTCCTGGGCTGCTCCCTGAGGAAGCCTCAACTCGCTGACTCTCTCACCCCTGGAGTTTTGCAGGAGAAAGGAGGCTCATTTTCTGAGGATGGATTGCCACTGCCATTTTATCAGCAGGCAGGACATCTCCACAAGATTTCTCAGGCCACTTCTATGCCCTATAGTACAAAGACCTCTGTGTACCTGAGAATTCGGTTTTTTTGGCCCAGCAGAGAAGGAAAAAAAAAAAAATAACAAGTGTGTACTTATGCCAAAAGTTTTCTGTCTGTCATTGTTAGGTTGTATTTATAAATACAGACATGGAAGTTTGGAAGAGTGTGGGAACTCCATGTGAGCCAGTACTGGACCACAGCCTCTGTGTGTTGCCAGTGGAGAGTGTACTTCTGAAGCAGTCATTCCAGGGCAGATGTAAAAATTCTGGTCTTGGGAACAGGATTTCATAGCTAAAGTCATAAGACTTTGGTGTTCACTCTTGAACTGTGACCTTAGTAGGACAGAGTGAAACATGCTGCTCCCTCCACTCACTCTCCAATTTAAGATAGCTGTAGTATTTTATGTTCTTCTACCCTCTAATGGGTTGTCAGACAACTGTTGTCAGCTCATACAGCTGTACTTCAGTGATGGCTAAAAATGGCTTTGCACATCCTAAATCACTGCTTTGTTTTTCCCTTTAGTGTCATGAGTTCTCTTACTGTATGATAATGGTGATATTGCTTATGGAATATGGTGAGAATCTTTACACAAGTGATCTATCCAAAGAAATTGGAAGCAATCTGACCTCCAGCTCCTGGGAATGTCTTTGGCTGACACCAGGCGTCATGATGAACACAAGATGCTTGTTTCTCTCTTCTTCCAGAGAGAAATGTACTAGCTTAGTTATGAGAACTGGCTGGGAGGAACAAGCTGCATGTCTTATTAGTTTGAGATGTGGTTATTAACTGCAGCCACCCTCCCCATCTAATTGTGCTGCTGTTGTGTCTGTCCCAGGGCAGCATCTCCTGCCTAGCATCACTTCATTTCAGCATTAGCTCCTCACTGAGAGAGCTCACAGCCTGAATAGCAGAATTCCCAGAGACAAAAGCTCTAATAAGCAAAGGCAATTGAAATGATTAATGGAAAATTTGCCAAAATCATACGGATTCCCAGGCCACAGAGCCCCTCACCCATCCATCTCTTTTCCCTCCCCTTCCACTGGCTTTCCCTCCCCCACTCTGAGCCAGGCGTCTCAGAGAAAAGGCTCTGCCTTGCACAGCCTGTGTGACAGCAGGAGGGAGAGGGAGCTGGAGATAGCAAGGAAGAGGAAGCTGTGCAGAGGGCTGGGAAGTGCTGCATGCTGTCTTCAGAGACTGCATCCGAGCCTGGAGGAGCAGGGAACCTACTGCTTGCAGGAGCACCTTCTCTTGGCTGTTCAGTGGCATCTGCAGCAGCTGCTCGGAGTCTAAAGAGGGCAGAATGGGATGAGAAACACCACTGGCAAACCAGATTGCAGTCCTTGTGATGAAAACGACTGGCTGTGCAGCTGACCAAAATGCAGCAGCAAGAGACAAATAACCCGAGAGGAATACCAGCAAAAGCAGAACCCAGGCTGCAGAAATCCCTGATTCTGGAATCAAATACCTGTGTGTGGGCTGCTCATCTGCCATCTGGCAATTCCTTGCAAAGACCCTGAGGTTTTTGTTTCTGCTGTGAATCTTTCAGCTAATGTGAAGCAGTCTGGCTTGCAAATATTTCTCCAGTAGTTTGACAGGAGCTGGCATCTTCTGCACTGAATTCTGAGCATGTGAAGGGCTGAGGCATGTCTGGAGCCAGCATCCTGAGGCTCCCCGGGAAACGGATCCTGTGAGGAGAAAGGTTAAAGTGGGATCATGGGAGGGAAGCAGGTCAAATGGTGAGCGATTGTTGCCATTGTCATTTGAAACAGCAGGGATGGGGTATTTATTAAAAATTATGAGAATTCAGACTTACCACTGGGGCTGTTGCCATACAGCCTTGGCTGTGCAGGCAGTGGCAGCTCTGGGACCCAGTGGAGAAAGGATATGGGTTAAGAAATCAACTGGTGAAAGGAATAAAGTGGAACAGTTGGAATCATAAATGTGTCTTAAATAGCTTTAATTTCACAGCACTTATTTCTGCATGCTTTAATCATGAGTTATGTACTTTAAAGAACAAATTACAGCAGTGGATATTTTGTACTCTGAGTTTGATGACTGATAAACCATGTAGAAATGTTTCCAGCAGTAACCTGATGACATATAATGTATGAGGCAACCTGACCTGTGCTGCTGGTCCTTGTGAGTGCATCTCTGTGGCTCCTTCACTAGTTGGCATGGTCTGAGAGGTTGTTGCTGATGCCATGTGAAGCCACTGGCCTTTTAAAACAGGGAAGCTGTCTGGGAGAGGGGACTGTGGATACAGGAATGCATAAGTAATTATCTGTAAAACTGCATGTTGTGGAGACCTGTAGTGGCCAGTTAACCCCAACAACCACCCCAGTTGGGTTCCTTTGTATTTGCTCTGGGCTGTGGATTCAGCACTGAAGAGGAGTAGACTCTAGAAGAGGGGGATGTTATTTCTAGGCTCTGTATCATCTTGGGTTTTGTCCTGCTAATTCTCCTTTCCTGTTCTGTGCTCTTGCCCCTCTCTCACTTTCACCACCTTCTCACCCAACAGCTGCTACTATTTTTTTTCCTAAGACAGCTCTCACTCTTTCATCTTGTGCATGGATGAGAACCAGCAATGCACTTGTCAGAATGATGGCATGTTCAGAGTATCAGCTGAGAAAATGCAGGGGGAATATTGAGATGTATTCCTAGAAGGAAGTAAGATACCTGAGTTCCTGGACGTGTTACATCAGCTGGGCTTCCTCTTTGTACCTGTGCTGTTTGAAAGTTTTATCCTTTCCTCTGACCCTTATTATGTAATGCAAACCCAACAGTACTCTCTGGTCTCCCAAAAAAATTATTGTAATTTTATGCTGTGCACCTATGGAGTGACAAAGAGGAGCAGGGGGTAGTTACATGTAGTATACAAAATGTAGTGAATCAGGGACTGCTGTAATGGAGTTTGCCTTCCTGAAGGAAGGTCCTTGAGCAAAGCTGAGTGGCCTGTTCCCCTTTAATAATCATGCACACCCTGTCTGAGCAGGAAAGAATGAATACTGTAGCTGTTGCTGTGGTCCCAGTTCTAGAGAGCCCTGATCTAGAGATCCTAGTTAAAAAAATGTTTTTTCTTCTCTTTTAGTGAGTTGTTTTCATCTTTTCATTTAACATGGGGAAAGCTCATTTGGTCTGGACCATGAGGACTAGATAGACTGTTTGGAGGTCTGTAATATGAATGAGAAGTAGGCCAGTGCTGGCCGTGGGAGTGGATGACAGGGGAGCTGCTAGCAAGTAATTTCCATCTCTATTGCAAGGCTTTTCTGACTCACTGAGAGCACCATGGAATATGCAGCAGCAGTGCTGGGAAGATGTGGAAGGCGAGCTGTCAGAGGATCTTATTTTTCTAAACCTTTTATTATTTCCACGCTGTTTTGTTTTTGTTCTCTGTCCTTTGTTTCTGTGTTGGGGAGAATGAAAAATTAACTCCTGCTCACACTCGCAGGGATTAGTTCCTGCGACTTCAGAGGTACATTGAATGGGTCAGTAAGCTTCAGCCACTTCTTGATGTTGTCTGGGTGATGGTTTTAGGAGGAATTTCTGAAGAAAGATTGCTTGTACCTCAGTCAGCTGAGATGTCTCCAGTGAAAATGTCATTACGTTCAAGAAGTTTTAACCTAAGAACATAAGTGAGTGGTATCAACTTTCAAAAGTATTTTGCCCTTGGAATTTTAAGTTAGGCAAGTGGTGCCTCTGAAAGCTGCAGTAAGAGAACCAAGGTAGAGTTGCTTTTAATTCAGGTTGCAGTATGAACATAAGGCTCACAGTAAATTGTTTCTGAGCAGAGTGTGGTCTTACCCCTCTGTGGATTTTGTGGTGGCAGTCTCAAACTTGCCTTCTGTTAAGGAAAAGGAAGGTGCACATTGTGCAGGTTAACAGTTAGCCTGCTATGACACTGAGTTATGGAAGACTTAGATGCCTGGCTTGGTTTGATCACTTCTCTAGCATGCAGATAATTCTTGGTTTTCAACAGGCCTGTGTGCATCTTCACTTTTATTTTAGATGAGTATGATGCTGATGAGTACCAGAAGTAACTTTCTCCTTTCCTCTGCAGTCTTACATCATCCAGTCCTGTGCATAGTGCAAAGAGTGAATCCACTGTAGCTCCATCAGAGGAGAAGGAAAGACTTGTGATCATCCACACTGAAGAAACAGAAACTAAAACAGGTACCTTGCAGACACTGTTTTACAGCTCATGCTTTCATTTGGATTTGTTTGCATCATAGGCTTGCTGAAAAGTTCCCCAGTGACTGAAGTGAATGTGGAGAATTAGGCTGAGTATCTGTTAATAAAAAAAACTAAGTCCCAAAGTTTTCCACACTACAATAATGCTGTAATATGGCAGTTTCTGAGGCTTGAAAAATTATGTTTGGGAAATAAAAAGCTCTGGAGAAGGATTAAGGGTCATATATAACTTTCACTGTAGGGTATGTGCTTCCATCACAGCTTTATTAGGCTGTGTTGGAAAAAAAAAATTGAAAATTCCCTTGAAGAGTGAATCCATGTGGGCTTGTCAGGCCCATGTTCTGCATTAGGTGTTGTCCACCTGGAGAAAGCCATGTTATTTGGCAAGTAGAAATACTGTTCAGTGTTGACTTTAGTGGGTTCTTGGTCCCCTCTAACACTAAGACGTGTTCTTCAAATCCCACAGTTGCTTTTCTCCCCTCAAGTGTTTTCTACCACATGCAGTGCAGTGTCCTCTGTGATGTGCTTTGAAATCTCCAGTACAGAGGAATCGGATGCAGCAAAATGAAGTAATGGGAAGGATGCTTATCTTTGATATAAGTGTATGCAGGAAAGCTTCCTGTGCATAAAGAATGAGGCATAAATCCTTGAGATTATACTTCTCACACTTGGAGCAACTTCCTTGATACTGTTTGGAAGACATGCTTGTTTGTTACTGATAGTGTGGTCAGCAGGCAATTATTACCTGTTGCAAGTCTTGCCTCCTCTCTGCCATGGTCACATTCAGCTGTTCTCTCTTCCAGAAGAGATAGAATCTCATTTCCAGCCTGAGTGGCAAGCAGGGAACCCTGGATCTTATTTGGAGATTTCATGGGAGGAACAGCTTTTGGAACAACAGGACCATTTGGAAAAGGAAATGGAGGAGGCAAAGAAGATGATTTCAGGTTTGCAGGTAATAGATTTTCTTCTCAGCCATAGTTCTCTTCCACAAGCATTTCTTTTCCCACCAGCTATAGCCATGAGACAGGTTATCTGACAGCTGAGAAGGTTATCTGGCTGGGAACTTGAGACAGTTGAGTGAGAGTCCTGGCCTGTTCAGGTCTCCTGGGGTCATTGCACAAGCAGCCAGTTGGTCTGTTGGGTCATCTTGGTTAAATAGGGATGATGGCTCATCCCTGTGTCTCAGCCTGTGGGATGAGCCCCTTCAGGAAAGAGTTCATCAGGAACAAGGAGGTATTTTTGACAATGTGTGTTGAAGTATATTTGCTGCAGCCAGCAGAGACCTTAGCCAGCAACAGAATGCTGCTGACTAAGCCCTCTGACATCTTCCTTTCAGTATTTTTGACAAAGTGTGTTGAAGTATATTGGCTGCAGCTAGCAGAGACCTTACCCAGCAACAGAATGCTGTTGACTAAGCCCTCTGACATCTTCCTTTCTTGCAATGTTTAGGCTCTCTTGGCTTCTGTAACTGTGATTTGGTGATGGTCATCTTATCCAGAACAGAGAATGCCAAAACTGTCCTCTCTAGATATCCCAGATGCAGTTTAAAAGACAGGTGGATCCAGCTGCAGTCTTGCTTGTGGCAGGGTATGCCTGTCTCCCATTACTGTCTGGCATGTGTAACCAGGGGAGCCCAGGGAAAGATGAAAGATGGCTGTGACTTCCCCAGCCCCACTATATTTACCCAGGTTTGAGAGAGAGAATTTTAACATCAGTCTGTGCAATTCAGACACAGCCTTTTTTTAGCCCAGGCTCCTCCAAAGCTCGGAGTTGACATGATTTGAGACTCTTATGCAGTAGGGAGGGAGAGAGAAGGATGTAGAGAGAGTCAGAGAGGAAGATTTTTACTGCTACAAAGACTGAAGGTGAGTGATATTCACTAATAGTGAAATGAGAGGGCAAAGGGTGCTCTCAATGCAGGTAAAAATGGAACCACTGTAAAGAATAAAATGAACCCTCTGATTAAATGGTGGTGGTGTCTGTGTTTGTCTTCTGACTGGAGTGCAGCTCATGGCTGGGTTCTGTGCCGTGGTTGCCTGGCCTGTGATGCTGTACTGACTGTGTGCTGCCACTGTGCAAAGCACGTAGGTTAGTGTGCAAAGTAGTGAAGATGCAGCAGTGTTTTCCCACATGCTGGGGCTGAGACATCTTCTGCACCAGGGCACTTAACAGGCTGCAGGGTTTGTTGGCAGGGTGGGAGAACAGAGCAGCCTGTGATTTGTGATCGGAAGTAATGCAGAGAGACAAGGAATGTCAGGAAATCAATCGGGATTCAGAGGGCTCATCAGGGGTCACAGAGGCTTGCATCAGGCTTGCAGTGAGCCAGGCTGAACTGTAATATCTGGCACATTCTCTGCACAACTATTTATTTGTGGGACTTTTTCCTTGCTGCCTTGTTCTAGTTCCTCCCCGACCAAATGACCCTCGGCCCAGTATGTTTGACTCTGCATGGGGAGTAGAGCCCCATATCCATATGGTAAAGACCCTGAACTCTCTCAGGAATATTCCTTTCTGTTTGTGCTGGGAACCATACTGCCTTTGAATTGTAAATATTTATGTGCCAGTAAACAAAGCAGAGATTGTGTGAGAAGCAGAGGCAGCCGGGGTGGAGGGTGGGGTGTGGG